TCATCTCCCACAATGATGATGCCCGCTGTCACGTTGTGCTTTTGGGGAGGATCAGAGGCCCCAGACGCCATGGTCCTGCTTGCTCTGGCCCTCTGCAGGGCCCTCCAGTAGCCACGCAGACCCCAAGATAGGGGTCGCAAGCATAGGGGTCCCGCCAGGTCTACAGGGCACTGGGGGCCATAGCCCGAACAGGGGGCCGATGGTCCAGGAACCTGGAGAAGCCAGAAAGGTCAATGGGAGAGCAGAAGTGCACGTCATTCTAATCAGTTTCTTGACTCAGCACCTTTACCTCCGCTTTAATAATCGTGTTCTTAAACACCAGCCCATGCTTCCTTAAATGCCTTACAAGCGTGGCTCCAGTCTCCTTGAAAGTGTTCTGTTCCTCCGTGTACCTACCACTTAAATTGTCCTTTGTCTTCCGAGGCTGGCTCCTGTAATGTCTGTCGAATCTTACATTATCTGCTCCTTTAAATGTCTCTTCTCTTTGGGGCACCTGTCCCTTTAAATGTCTACATTACCCTGGGCTTTCGCCCCTTTAAATGCGTTGCCCTCTCTCCACCCCCAACCAGAATTCAGTCGCCTTGTTTCGCAACCTTCCGCACCCTTTCAAGCCTGGAATTCCCGTTCTTCCCACTACGTTCAGGCTACGGAGCCATTCCAGGTTCTCACCTGCCTCTCGGGCCCCTTCACCGGGTCTTTCCTTCTCGCCTTTCCTCATGTCCTAGGGCAGCTTCCGTACTCAGAGTCCCGCCTTAAGCTCGCGTCTCTCTCTTTTTAATTGGTTATTTCGGCTATCCTTCAGACTACTCCCGAGGTCCCATTGGTGTATTTGACTGTCGCTCGCGAACCTCAGCCAGAAGGCGGGAGCGGTGCTGGGTTGTTATTGGCGACAAGCACGTGGTCACCTCTAACCCGGAAACTTGGGGCCGGGCTCCGACTCGCGGGGCGGGGCTTCTCTTATCTCAGGGGTGGACCTGGGGGCTCTGCGGTGACAAAGGAGCGGAGGTTTGCCAGATGCTCCAAAAGGCTTATTTCGGGAGCGCCCTTCTGGTGCTGGACTAAAGGGAGGCCTGACTCTAGCTCCCTTCTGCCTTCAAGAAAACTGCTGATAGTAATTTTTGGAAGGTGAGACGCTTTGGACCACACACAGCGGTACTCGGGCTTACTCCTCTCTCTGCCCTCAGGGACCACCCCTGAAGGGGCTTGGGAGGACGCTTTTCACTGCCCGGCATCAAACCCTGGTCGGCTTTGTGCAAGGCAGAGGCCCTACCCGCTGTACCGTGTCTCTGTTCCGTTTTCAAGTTCTTCTGTGCATGTACTTTACTCATTGGCCGGAACTCCTAATTCTAGCTAAAGGGCCCAGGGGCCGGGACTTCTGGGATTTTATTATTGTTTTTAAGGTCATACACAGCTGTGCCCAGAGCTTACTCCTGACATTATGCTCAGTGGGCCCTGGGGGCCTTATGGGATGCCAAAGATCGAATTTGGGTCCACCGGTGTGAAGCAAGCACGCTTCCCACTCTACTATCCTCTGGCCCCCGACTCTATATGGATTTTATAAGATAGGAAAGAATAACTGTGGGCACTGCCTTGTGGGCATTGCCTGTGAGGTAGGATCTTGGAGGTGAGTGAGCTTCTCAATGGAACTTTAGTCTTCATCATCAAGGATAAAGCTAATTACTTAAACCTCCTTTGACAAAGTCTTTTAAGTTAAACATCCTCTCCCATTTCTGGTCTTGCAGGGACTTCTGAAGGCAGTGGCACCTTGTCCTGGTTTACTCACACTTATATTGTCTTTGGCCTACAAGTGTTTTTCACTGGGAGTCTCCCAATAGTACTGGAGGTCTGGGCTGAACTAGGACCATGCTGGGCAGGGATCCGGCTTGGTCCTCTGTACCTCCCCCTGTGGCCCCCTGCCCCCGGATTTCTTAACTCTAAAAGGGCTTCTGAAACTTCTTTATTGTGTTTTTGGGTCACACTTGGTGTGCTCCTCAAGGCTCTCTTGGCTCTCTCACTCAGAAGATTATAGGCCGTGCCTAGAACCAAACTAACATTGGCCATATACAAGACAAGCACCCTACCTGTCACCAGATCTTCTACGGTCTTTTCCATAGTAATAAACATCTTTACAGCAGTGTTTTTCAACCCTCCTACTGTGGCCCCCTAGTCTCATACCATGCGCCCCCACTTATGTGAATTTTCATCTGTGGCCCCCTTGGAATATCCTGGAGCCAACTGAGAAACACTGATTTAGAGGACTACTAAACCATACTTGAACTAATTTCACTCCTAATAATCATCTAAGAGAAAATGATTACACAGGCTCAGAAAGTTTGAAGGGATTGTAACCAAGAACCTCAAAATGCTGAAGTGAATGGGCAGGCAGGCTTTTACATTTTTGTATCAAGTCATTGGCTCCTTGTCCTTTTCAGTTAAAAGAACCTCAGTTCAGGGCTGGAGAAATAGTACAGCAGGAATGGTGCTTGCTTTGGGCAAAGCCTACCCGGGGTCAATACCTTGTATCCCATGTGGTGCCCCAAATAGCCAGGAATAAGCCTGGAGCAGCACTAGGTCTGGGCCGAAAACAAAACAAAACAAAAAGAATAATCAACTCAAAAATTAAGGCAAGGGTTGGAGTGATAGCACAGTGGGTAGGGCATTTGCCTTGCATGCGGCAGACCCGGGTTCAATTCCCAGCATTCCATATGGTCCCCTGAGTACTGCCAGGAGTAATTCCTGCGTGCAAAGCCAAGAGTAACCCTTGAGCATCGCCGGGTGTGACCCAAAAAGAAAAAAAAAATTAAGGCAAGACAAAAATTCCATTTGTAGGGCTGGGATGGGTTGCAGTGGCAGAGCACTGCATTTGCACATGTGATGTCCTGGATTTCATCCCTGGCACTGAAGAAAAAAAAAAAAACAAAACACCCAATAAAAGTCAAAGGAGGACTGGAGAAACTGTTGGGTGCTTGCCTTACACATGACTGACCTGGGTTCTATCCCTGCCACCCCATATGGTCCTCTGAGCCCTGCCAGGAGTGTTCCCTGAATGCAGAGCCAAGAGTAAGCCCTGAGTACCATAGGGTTTGGTGTAAAAACAGAACAAAAATCAGGCACCACCCATCAAAGAAACCCCCACAAGTTTCACTTGCCTAATAACAGGAGCCATATGTTCCATTATCTTTATTAGTATTAAGGGTGACATTCGACTCCCCTCCTCCTCCCATAAGAAACCCAAACCTGAAACATCTGCTCTTGTTGAATCCTTCACTAGGGTGTTCTGAAGCCCAAATAGGGCAACCAGAATTACCTGAGAGCTTATTAAGCTTATTAACATGTCACGGGGCCCAACCTTCAGTTTCAGATTCCGTAGGTCTAGGGTGGAGCTGGGTTTTTTTTTTTTTTTTTGAGTTTCCAGGTAATTTTGATACTTTGGGTCTAGGAGTCACATTCAAGAACCGCTCTAGGGCTAAATGCACACAGGGGAAAGAGGGCCAGTTAATTGTTCTTATTTAGTACGGTGTACTTACAAGTAGTTTTTTGCACAAATGTTTTGTGCAGTACTCAGTGGACCAGGTGGTACCTAAGATTGAATCCCAGCCTCCTACACACAAGCATTCCAGTTCACTGAGCCATGGCTTTGGCCCCCAAATGTTTACTTCAACAGCCATGATTTGCATTTGTTTTTGTAAAGGTCATGTAAGTACTTGCATAAAAATACAGGAAATCTTCAGAACAAAGTCACACCCCTTATCAATTAAGTCTGCAAACTAGGAATGATTTAGTAACAGTACCTTTTTTTTTTTTTTTTGCTTTTTGGGTCACACCTGGTGATGCACAGGGGTTACTCCTGGCTCTGCACTCAGGAGTTACTCCTGGCGGTGCTCAGGGGACCATATGGGATGCTGGGAATTGAACCCGGGTCGGCCACGTGCAAGGCAAATGCCCTACCCGCTGTGCTATCTCTCCAGCCCCTTAACAGTACCTTTAAAGCCACCAAGAGATTCCAATGCTTAAGAAGCACTGAAAACACCCCAACCACTGTGTCCAATGTACCAGGTCATAGGTGTTCCTGAGTCTTAGGTCAGACAGAAAGTAAGTAGAATGCACTAGCGCCTCTTCCCCTCATATGGTATTAGACCTGTGTCAGAGGAAACATTCCGAATTACAGTTCTTTATGCTTTTTTTTTGTGTTTTGCCCAAAAACACCACCAGGCTGTACTCAGGGATCACTCCTAGAGGTGCCTGGAGGACCACAGGCATGTAGGAATTATTTGCCGCATGCAAGGCAAGTGGTTTAAGCCCTATACTATCTTTTCATTCCCAGCTCTGGCCCCATTTAGCAGTGTTCAGAAATTATTCCTGGCAGGCTTGGGGAACCATTATGGGATGCCAGGGATTGAACCTAGGTTGGTGTGTGCAAGGCAAACCCCCTACCTATTGTACTGTTGCTCTCCATTCTTCCCACCCACCCCCAGCTCTTTTGTTTTAATGATATTAGCCCTATATAACTTCTCTGGCAAAATATATACTAGATATTTACAATAAGTCTGCTTACTGTAAAGTAGGATAGGAGCCAGTTACCTGGGTGTTAAGTTTCATGAACTGAAGAGTTTATAATCAATTCAATGCTCACCCTGTGAAAGGGAAAATCTTTTGTTGTTTTGGGGCTATACCTGGAGATGCTCAGAGATTACTCTTGGTTCTTTACTCAGGAATTACTCCTGGAGGTACTTTGGGACCATATGAGTTGCCAGGGATGAATCCAGGTTGGCCGCATGCAAGGCAAGTACCCTACCCACTCTACTATCTCTCCAGTCCCAGATCTTTACAATGAAGAGAATTTGTTTTTATGCCACACCCTGCGGTGTGCAGGAGCTACTCTCCCATTCTGGGTTTAAGGGGGGACCATGCTTTATCAGATCGAACCTGGGGCTCCCACAGGCAGAGCATCTGTTCCAGTCCTTAAAATCACCTCCCCAGCCAACAATGAAAGAATCTCATTATAAAAACTTCCTCTTTAATCAAGGCTGCAAAATGGAAAGAGAGTTCTTGGGGGAAAAAAAAAGGAAATTTTCCAATACATTGAAACACAAATCACCATACATACAACACTGGGCAAGAAAAGGAAAAAAAAAAACCAAAAAAACCCTTCTAAATAGCAAGTTGACAATCCCTGTAACAGCATGGTCTGAGAAGCAGGTGCGTCCTACACACGCTATGGAGTGTGCTCAGCCAGAGACGGTGCTTGCAGTGGCTCTTGGGGTCACACTCAGCAGAGTCTCAGCCCAGGAGCATCATCTGGCTGGGCTGTGGTGCTGCTGGCTCTGCTCAAGAAGCAAAGCAGCCACCAGCACATTCAAACAGTGTATCGAGCGAACATCCTTTAAATATCAAAGTGAGAAACAAGGCAACACAATAATGTCATTGGAAAGACGCTAGCAAATGAGGACAGCTGCGGAAGCGCCAGGCTGCAGAGTGGCTCGCCAGCTTCATTTCTTTGGCTTCTTGGGGAGTGGCCTCCGGAACAGCAAGATGTGTGGTTCTGTAAGAGTGAGTGAAATCTAAGAGCAGAGCTTCCATCACTCTATGCATGACCTAGCATGGATCCCACCTCCCGCTATCACCCCCTCAGATCTCTAACTGAATTAAGCTGTAAGTCTGTGGCCTCAGCACCAGACCCAGAGCCTGTTATCTGAGCATAGGACTGTTACCAGCAGTCTTGAGCGGTTTGAACAGCCCCAGGGCACTTTAATTCCTTTTGCCCTACAGTTGGTGTCTGGTGTCTGATCAAGACAAATACTTTCCTTGGCTTTTTTTGAAACACATCCAAAGATTTGCTTCCTTTTGTCTCTTTTGGGTCACACCCAAAGGGATCACTAAGGGATCACTTCTGACAGGGGCTCTGGGGACCCTATGTGGTTCCACGAATCAAATGGGATGGCCGTATTTAAGGCAAGTGCCTTATCACCTGTACTAGCTCTCCAGCCAAAAAATTTACTTTCTGATGGAGAATGAAACAAGGGTCATAACTTCACAACCAGGATATATATGTTCTTAGTTAAAGCATACCCTCTTGGGCTGCAGAGACAGCACAGTAGGAATGACACTTGCCTTGAATGCTGCTGACCTGGGCTTGATCCCCAACACCCCCCGAGGGCTGGAGTGATAGTACAGTGGGGAGGGCGTTAGCCTTGGCATTAGCCTGCACATGGATGACCAGGGTTTGATTCCCATTTGGTCCTTGAGCACTGCGAGGAGTAATTCCTGAGTGCAGAGACAGGAGTAACCCTTGACATCACCAGGTGTGACCCAAAAAGGAAAAACAAAGTACAAGAAGTGATGCCTGAGCATAGAGCCAAAAGTAAACCCTTTAACCTGGGTTTACTACTGCAGGATGTGCCCTCCCACCCCCCCAAAAAAGAAGTAACTGGAGAGATAGTACAGCAAGTAATATACATTTGCCTTGCAGGCAGCCAACCCAGGATTAGTTCCCAGCATTGCATATTATCCGCTTAGCAAAGCCAGGAAGGAGTAAGGCCTTAGCACCATCAAAAGGGGCCCCAAAACAAAAACCACCACCAACAAAAATACCCTTTGACTGAACTAGAGATGAAAGGACAGTTTGTTTCAGAACTTTTAAGACTTTACTTTTGTTTTGGTTTTTGGGCCGCAGCAGGTGATGCTCAGGAATTACACCTGGGGGGCTTTCGGGGGCTACAGCTGGCAGTTCTCAGGGGTTATTATTCCTAGTTCTGCACTCAGAAATTATTCCTGGTAGTGCATGGGAGACCATATGGCATGCCAGGGATCAATCTTGGGTCAGCCTCGTGCAAGGTAAGCATCCTACCTGCTGTACTATCTCTCTGGCTCCTCTAAAGACTACATTTACCCTTCATTTTGATCACTCCAATTTCCCTAGAAAGTATGGCAGAGGCAGCTAGAAATAAAAGCTAAGCAATAATACTTCATGCCTTTCATCTTCTTTTCTTTTCTTTTCTTTTGGAACCACATCAGGCAGTGCTCAAGTCTGACTACTGGAGATGCTCAGGGGACCATATGGGATCAAACCAGGGTTGGCCATGTACAAGGCAAGAGCCCTAGTGCTGTACCATCTCCCTGCGCCCCTTCTTCCTGTGGATCATGCAAATTTGTCATTCCCTTAGGGAAGCAGTCATACACCGTTGTGTCCAGCCATTGCACTGACCTGGTTCATGGATCATATAATGGACCCATCCCTGACTCTGCTGAACGCCAAGATTCCGCCACTCCGACTCAGACATCAAATGGGTTTTAGGGACCAGCTTGGCTATATCCTTGGGCAACATGACATGCCTGTAACAGAAACATGAGAAGGTGGGAATCTGCATTCATACAGGGTACAGTCCATTAGTAAAGCACCTGCACACAAAACCACCACAAAGATAACCCTGGCTTTTTTTTCTTTCTCTTTTTGGGTCACACTCGGCAATGCACAGGGGTTACTCCTGGCTCTGCACTCAGGAATTACTCCTGGCGGTGCTCAGGGGACCATATGGGATGCTGGGAATCGAACCCGGGTAGGCCGCATGCAAGGCAAATGACCCACCCGCTGTGCTATCGCTCCAGCCCCAAGATAACCCTGGATTTAACGGGGGTTCATACATCTCATTGTATGGCAGAGGCAGCTAGAAATAAAAGCTATGTCAATTGTCACAAAATCATGAAAAAACCCAAATCAACCAAGTGAACAGTAAGATTGCAAGTACCTGGGAGACGTTGCCTCTCTGATGGAGCTTACAGCTATTCTCCTATACCTAGTTCTCTTTTCAGGGGGGTCGGGGTAAGGGCCATCCATCTGGTGATGCTCCTGGCGCTGTGCTCAGGAATCACTCCAGGTGAGCTCAGGGGACCATATGGGATTCTGGGAACAAACATGGGTCGACCGCATGCAAGGCAATGGTTGCCTTACCTGCTGTACTATCACTCCAGCACCCATTCCTAGTGTCTTTAACTGGACCATTACAACCCATATGGGGCTTTATTGCTGAATAGGAGAGCCATGAAAAAGGTGCTTTATAGTTTTTCTTTTTTTGTGATACCAGGGAATTGAACCCAGGGCCTTACACATGCAAGGGAAGTGCTTTACTGCTAAGCCACTTCCCTTGCTCGAAAAATGTGTTTTAAAGTGGAGCTCAAGGGGCTGGAGCAATAGAACAGCGGGTAGGGCGTTTGCCTTGCACGCGGCCGACCTGAGTTCGATTCCCAGCATCCCATATGGTCCCCTGAGCGCCGCCAGGATTAATTCCTGAGTGCAGAGCCAGGAGTAACCCCTGAGCATCGCCGGGTGTGACCCAAAAAGAAAAAAAAAAATAAAGTGGAGCTCAAGGAACCAGAATGAGAGTATGGTGGGGGTGGGGGGGGACTTGCCTTGCTGGTAGCTAATCCCGAGCACCCTGCATGGTTCCTACAAATCCTGCCAGTAATGATCCCTAAATGTAGAGTCAGGAGTTATCCCTGCACACTGCTAGGTGTGCAAAATAAGTCAGTCGGAAGCGATAGCTCAGTGGACTGAGTGCATATTTTGCTGTGAGGGGTCCAGGCCCCTTTTCTGGATCAGTGACCCTCCCCCGCACTGAGAATCAAAAGGAGTGACTCCTGAACACCAAACGGGGAGGGAGAACCCCCCAAACGCTACCAGGTAGGGCTCTCCAAAACAAAATTTACTCAACAAGAGTGGAGCTTCTTAAACTTCCCACTTGCAGCAACCCCTTTTCACCCAGAGAATTTTTGTTGTGTTGTTTGGTTGGGGTTTTGGGCACATCCAGCAGTGTTTGGGGCTCATTCCTGGCTCTGCGTTCAGGGATCACTCTGGCAGGTTTATTATAAGCAAATACCGACACACCCATTTTGTATACTCAGGGCTGGAAAAAATTTCTTAGGTGAGGGGCCAGGGGTGGTACAGCAGGGGACATACTTTCCTTGCATGGAGGTGATTCAGGTTTGATCCCTGGCACCACGTCAGGTTCCCTGATCCCAGCTGGAGTGATCCCTGAATGCAGAGCAGGAATGAGCCCTGAGCACTGCTGGATGTGCCCAAAACCCCAACCAACCAACCAGCCGAACAACACAACAAAAATTCTCTGGGTGAAAAGGGGTTGCTGCAAGTGGGATGTTTAAGAAGCTCCACTCTTGTTGAGTACCCTAAGACTGTTAATTGATTTGAGGTGATTCTGAGCTAGACTGGGATGGGAAAGATGCGTTTGTGAAGGGCTGTTAAGGAGCCACTGGGAAGCAGGAAACAGAAATCTCTTATCTGGAATCTCACTGTCACATCTCTGGAGGGATGTGCCACAAGGCTGCCTTTGGGAAATTCCATGTTTTCCTAACCAAGGAAAAGTCTCCTTTCCTGGCAAACAAATTACTCTGACTCTGAATCAGGCTGAGCCACTGAGACTTCCTCAGACTCAGTGAATGTACTAAACGCCCTTTCTGTGACACTGAGTTATTTCCCCAAGAATCATTCCTGTCCAAAAGTCTAAAAAGAGTTTATATTTTAACAGGCCCCTGGCACTAAGTTAGGCCTCAATACCTAATTAGACCAAAATAAAACCAACAAAACTCCCAAATCAAATGCCTCTCTTTTCTCTTTCCTTTCTTCCCACATTTGGAGGTGCTCAGGCGTTGAATCCCAATCCCAGCGTCCCATTTGCAAAGCATGTACTCCATACTCCAGCCCAATGAGCTCTTTTTCTCCAACTTCTCAAACACCTTTCCTAAACCAAAACACCCCTACCAAGATTTCAATTTCTCAGGGGATGTGGCTTGTGACTACTTGTCCCCGGCCCCATGTTATAAGCATACAGTTTTAATTTGCCCAGCGCTGGGGAGAGGGAATCAGCAGAGAGAAAAAAGGAAAGTTAATTGTGTCTAAGCATAGCCTGGGGGCGGGGCTGGGTCCGTCCCCAAGGACACAGCATACAGATGTCATGTATTTGTGAGCCCATACCCAGTTCTACAGAAGGCCCACAGTCTTGAAAGAGACTGGAGAGGAAACACAAGAGTATTATTTGCATCTGCTTCCTTCCATGGAGAAGATACAAACTAGGAAGTCACTTTAGTGAACACAGTGAACACAGACTTGTGAAATGCCAACGTTTGTGGCTTCCTTCCTTGATTTTCCAGTCTGGAATGAAGGATTTAGGATTAAGTGCAAACACTTAATCACTAAGGAGTCCTTGGGCTCCCACTGCAACGTACAGAATCATAACGCTCATCTTCTGTATTCCCGAGTCTGCCAGTATCTTCCAGATTTTCAGGTGTTGGAAGACTTGCACTCTGGAAGAAACACCTGCGGCCTATAAGCTCTCCACAACTGCTTCCTAAATAGGTTCCCTAACAAACATTTGCAAAGTCTTGCCTTCATGGTCCCGGCCAGCTTTACTCCACACCGATTCCGCGAGGCCCCTTTTCCATGAATGAACAACACTCAACTCCTCTGGCATTAAGGACCAGAGGCAGAAAATGCCAGTCCCACCCGTCTTCCCTTTCAGGTCTATGGTTGCGGCGGTGCAACTCGTCCAAAGATCTGAGAGCTCGAACTGGAAACCCGACAGCGGGCTGGGACTCAAACCCTGAGTTTCAGCAGTCACGCAAGGGCAAGAGTTCTAACATTGAGTTTTGCTCCCCCATGGTCAGAAACCCTAAAGAGTTGTCAATTTGCTCGCACTCTTTCCGCGCCCTCCCCCCCGCCGCCGTCCCAGAACGGGCGGATAGACCGCGCCCTGCCCCCCGCCGCCGTCCCAGAACAGGCGGATAGACTCCAGCCTATTCCCACTTTGTTTCTCCAACGAGCACCCCCCACAGCCCCTCTCTGCGCATGCGCCTTCCGCTCCCACCCAGCGCTCCGCGTCCCGTTAGCCTCCCGCGCATGCGCTGCGGCCTTCGCTTCTGTCCGGTCGGGTCTCTCTCGGGGCCCTAACTTGCTAAAGTTCACGATCTCACTCCAGCCCCCCGTGCGGCACTAACCGGTACTCGAATTCCTCGTCGTCGTATTTGTCCGAGTAGTAAATTTGTTTGTGTGACATGATCGCTCCGCCTTGAGGAACTCCAGCCCCGCGACGCCAACCTCCAGGCAACTCCCAGAAGCACGCGCTCCCACTCGCTCCGGCCTCGCTTTCAAACACGCCGCCTGCGCTTCCGATTGGCCCCTGAGGTTTAGGGCGGGACAGCTCCACCTCCAGGCCTCCGATTGGTCCAAACTGGCAGCTCTTTCCGTCTCGATTGGCGCACAGCGCTTACGTGCCTCAGGAGCGAGCTCAGATTCAAAATGGGCCGGTCCCTGGCTCCCAGCGCGCTGGTACGCGGTCCCGTGCTGCTATTGGCTGCTCTGGGAAAGTGGGCGGGGCGTGGGTGGGACGCTGAGGTAGAGGGTCAGGGGTGAGCGAGGCCGGAAGTGAGTGCAATAAAGTTTCTCCTGGGAGTCCGGGCCTGTGGAGAAAGTTGGAGCAGCGACCCAGAGAGGCACTGGTGTGATCCGGAACCAAATCGGCCCGCGGTGCGGTGCGGAGACTCCATGAGGCCCTGGTGAGTTGAGGACTTTTTTTTTTTTGAGTGACCCATTCTTTCACCCCGGAACCCCTCTCCCTGGACCCTACTTCCGGTCTTCCTTGTAAAGTCCCGCCCCCTGAGACCCCCTCTCCGGAAGTTCCACCTCCCAGCTTCGGGGGGCTCCGCGAACCCCGACTTGTTTTGTGTGCCTCGGTCCCGGCCCCACCCCGTCTCCCGGCTTCCCTGGAAGCCCCACCCCCGAGCCTCCCGGCGCGGCTCTCCCGACCCCCGCCCGCGCTCCGCTAGCTCCGGGTCCCGGAGAGCCGGCCCCTCCGAGAGCGCGCCCGGCCCCGCCCCTTCCGCGTCCACGTCCGCCCGTCCCGGGCCCTCGTGGGCCGCGCCCCCCGCGAGCGTGACCCGGGCCGGCCCCGGCCGAGCCGTGCCTTCCGCCCAGAGGACTCGCCGGGCTCGCGCTCCCCGTTTGGGCGGGGTCTCGTTTGCCCGCGGTGGGGAGTGAGGGCCCCCGGCTCGGGGTTCGAGGCAGCCCCTGTGCCCTCCGCGAGCCCCTGCCCCGGCCTGGGCCGGCTGGCGTAGGGCCCGGCAGCCCCACTCCCCGCGCGGCGCTCCTGCCCGCGGACCCCGCCCTCCCCCGACACCGCGGGGAGTCTCTTAACCTGGCTCTCCTCGGGTGCTTAGGGCCGCAGGGGGTGCGACGGCGGTGGGCTCGGAGTGGGTGCAGGAGTTTCTGCGGTGGGGGAGATTTTTGCTTGTTTTAGGGGCGCTTCCCCTCCCCCAGCGCGCCTTCTCCTTTGGGCATTACTGACCGTCAAGCCCGCTGGCCTTCGGGAAACATTCCTGAGGTTTTGGCCATTTCCTGACACTTCCCGCCCCTAGCTTGTCAGTTGTTGCCTCCCTGCGGTGCTGCCTCTACCCCAAAACCTGAGGATGGGCCGGCTCCCTGGTGGGCTAAGTTCTTTATTCCTACGCAGATGGGGTAGTACCCCCCATCCTTGTTCGCATTTCCAAAGGCCCACACCTGTTGCTCGCCCCATCTCAGGATCCTGGAGACTTCTCCAGCTGACTGACTTGGTGTTTGTGTATGTCCCTGTGTCTATCCTGGGGGTGTGTATGTGTATGTACCTGAAGCTGACCTGGGTGGTGCATGTATTGAGTGTGTAGATATGGCTATCTTGGGGTGTGTATGTATGTGTGTAGATGAGGCTGACCAGGGGTGTGCTTGTAGCTGTCTTGGGGAAAAGGAGGTGTGTATGCCTAGATGGGGACAAGGGCAGAGCCCTGGAGGAGGAGCAAGTTCTTTGGAAGGGGGTAACACAGCTCTCCTGGGAGGGGCAGTGGAAGTGGTCCAGCACAAGCTAACCTACGTGCTGGTGGTGGTGAGCACAGTGATCATGTGATCTCTTGCATCTTTTTTCCCCATCTGGAGTAAATCTGTGGAGAGTGTAATTCTTGGGGTGGGGGTGGGGATGTCTGCAGAGCTCATGTGTCCTTGATCACTTTTGAGGGTACTTTTCTGATTTCCTCCATGGCTCTCTTGAACAGAACCAGAGCAGGCGATGTGTGGGCGAGAGGCGTGGGTTGGGGCTGTCCTGTGTCCAGTCTGGACCCAGCTCCCGTTTTCTCTCTCTCCTGCCCTTGGCTTGAATTTGTCTTTTGCCATCTCTGTTCCTCCATGCTCTGTGTTCACACCCTCATGTCCCACCATGTCTCCCCCACCTTGGCAACTGGAGGCCCATGCGCAGACCTGGCAGGTACAGCGAGTGGCCTCAGTTTTAACCACGTGGCTCCCCATTTCTAGCCTTGCTTGCGTCACTAGGCCTGGGGAAGTGGGAGCAGGGCAGACGGATGTTTCGCTGTGGCCACTTCTTGGCATTGTAGGGCCCATGCTCAGAGCAAGACTCTGCCAGCCAGCTTCTGGTCCAGCCCTGCCGCGGTAGTGCCCATGTGCCACCTAGGCTGGCCCCTGTCCACCCGGACCACTTCCTTCTGACTGCGAATCAGCCCCTGTCCACAGCTGGTGTAGCAGAGGCTACTAATGGCCCAATTCCCTGGGGCCCCCACCTCACGGTGTGGAAGTGGGGGGTGGGGGAATCTGAGTGTTCAGCAGGACAGGAAGGGAAGCGGGGCTCAGGGATCCCTCCCTTTTCCAGCCCCCGCTGCTGGCTTCCTCCCTCATTCCTCCCACCCTCCCTCTCTTCCTGCTCCCTCTGGCCGGACCTTTCCCTGCTTGAATCGAGCTGGACCTTCTCTTATCTCCGCCTTCCCTTCCTACTCCTCCCAGCCTCCCTCCCTTCCCACTGTGCTGCTTCCCAGATTGTTGGTGGTTTGTTTGAGGCTGGTCCCCTCTGCGGTCCTCTCGCCCGCCCCTCTTGCCCAGGGTTCCCCTCCTGGTGATGGGGCCAGGGTGGGGGCTCAGCCTCTCCAAGCCTGTGAGTCAGCACTGTCCCCGAGATTGGCCCATCTGCTTCGTGCCCCGCCCCGGGGCGGAGCCAGGCGGCTTCTGGTCCTGCCCGTTCTTCACTCGCCAGAGAAAAGGCTCCAGGCTGGGCTGGGATGGGGCCTGGAGCTGTGGGGGTCTAAGCCGGGGCAGTGGGAGCCGCCTGTTCCCTTACCTTCCCCAGGGCCCCCGCAGGTCCCTGGGCAATGGCGGCCAGCTCGGGCTAAAGGACTGGGGATGCCCCCTGCCTGGCCCCCTTGCCCCCTGACTGGCAGGGGGGCCGGGCCGGGCAGCAGCCTCCCTCTCCAGCCATGGATCTCCTGCCCCCCAAGCCCAAGTACAATCCACTTCGGAATGAGTCTCTGTCGTCTCTGGAGGAGGGTGCCTCGGGATCAACCCCGCCGGAGGAGCTGCCGTCCCCCTCTGCCTCCTCCCTGGGACCCATCCTGCCGCCTCTGCCGGGGGATGAGAGTCCCACCACCCTGTGCTCCTTCTTCCCCCGGATGAGCCACTTGAAGCTTGCAAACCCGGCGGGGGGGCGCCTGGGCCTGAAGGAGGGGTCTGCCCGGGCGACTGAGGATGGGGAGGGGCCCGGGGGCGCAGCCCCTCGGGACTCAGGCCCCCTGCCCCTCCTCCAGGACATGAACAAGCTGAGTGGCGGCGGGCGCCGGACTCGGGTGGAAGGGGGCCAACTGGGGGGCGAGGAGTGGACCCGGCACGGGAGCTTTGTCAATAAGCCCACACGGGGCTGGCTGCACCCCAACGACAAAGTCATGGGACCTGGGGTTTCCTACTTGGTCCGGGTGAGTGAACATCTTCCTCCTGCTCCCTCCCACATGCCTGCCTGCCTTGCTTGCTCGTTCACTTGCTCTCTCCAGTTCTTCTGTTCACTCTGGGCTGCCAGGCTCCCTGGGCACCGTTACTGCCATCTGCCTGGCCCCTGCTCAGGTCCTTCCCTCCCTTCCCTCTCCCTGCCCACCCCACCCCCGCATCGACCACAATGGTCAGCACTGAGGCCCCTGTGTCGGACAGGGGTGATTGTCACTCCCTCTCTGCAGTGCCCTCATCCATTCTGGGGCTTGTCACACTTCCCCCTCCCCCCTGCTTCCACTGCCCTGCCCATGCGCCCCTCTTCCTGCAGGCATGAGGTCGCTTCTCCAGCCTTCGCTCTCTGTAGTTCCCTTTGCTCTGGCTTGTTGTGGCGCGTCGCCACAGGCTGTGGGCAGGACTTCCTCACCCTTCAGCTTGTCGGGAGCAACCAAGGGAAAGTTGGGGGCCTTTGTGCAGTGGGGATCTGACTGTTGTGCCCTCACCTGTCCCCCCAGTACATGGGCTGTGTAGAGGTCCTGCAGTCAATGCGTGCCTTGGATTTCAACACTCGCACCCAGGTCACCAGGTCAGTGGCGGTGGGGTGGGGGTGGGGTGCGGTGGGGTGGGTGCTGCAGGGGTGAAGGGGACTGAGGGGAGTTGATTTGAGTGGGAGGAGGCCTCTCTGGACCTGGGGCTTGATGGTGGGTGGTGGAGTGGAGGATGGGGGGATGGAAGGAGGCTGCCGCTGCCTGTGGGGGGGCTGTGGGGCCAGTCGCTGGAAGGGGGTGCGGCCTTGCCCTTTGAGGCCCTAACCCAATCAGCCAGGAAGCGGCCGTTCTGTGTCATCAAATATTAAAGGCCCTTAATTCAATCCAGCACGACAAAGAGCCTGAAGTGCCCAGGGAGCCTGGCCTGGCCGGCCCCTCCCTTGTGGGGGTTGGGGGTGGCAGGGGGGCTGAGTACCCCTCTCTCCCCAGGGAGGCCATCAGTCTGGTGTGTGAGGCAGTGCCGGGTGCCAAGGGCGCTACGAGGAGGAGAAAGGTACCAGAGGTCGAGGGGAGGTAGGCGTGGGGCATGTGGAGAGAAAGCCAGATGGCAGTGCATGGAAGAGTGGGGACTCCCCCCCAGACTCACCCCCTGCTACCTTTGACCTGCTGCAGCCATGTGGCCGCCCACTCAGCTCCATCCTGGGCAGGAGTAACCTGAAGTTTGCCGGGATGCCCATCACACTCACCGTCTCCACCAGCAGTCTCAACCTCATGGCCGCAGACTGCAAGCAGGTGGGTGAGGTGGCCCCCAGATCCCTGGATCTGAGCATGGGGAACGGAGGGAGGACGCGGGGAAGGAGCTCAGTGGTGGGATGGGAAGCCCAGGCCTGTGGGCCATGGTGGGGGCATCTGGTGGGGTGGGGCAGCCGCCTGACACTGGCTGCTTCCCCCTCCTGGCCTGTGCTCCGCCCTGCAGATCATCGCCAACCATCACATGCAGTCTATCTCGTTTGCTTCCGGCGGGGACCCGGTGAGTTTTAGGGAACAGAGCTCGGGGGGGGGGGGGGGGCAGTGGCTATAGTGAACTGAACAGGCCCAGGGCTTCAGGGTGACTCACTGACTGGCCTTTTCTGATCGTTCACCTAGGACACGGCCGAGTATGTTGCCTATGTTGCCAAAGACCCAGTCAATCAGAGAGGTGAGGTGTGGTGGGCTTGGCTTTCCAGGAGGCTTGTGAGCAAGAAGTAGGGAACTTCCTTGGAAGGCGCCTCCTGCCCCTGCAAGCCCACTGGGGGTGGGGGCTCAGTGACAATCTCTGCTGTGCCTGCAGCCTGCCACATCCTGGAGTGTCCTGAAGGGCTCGCTCAGGATGTTATCAGCACCATTGGCCAGGCCTTTGAGCTGCGCTTCAAACAATACCTCAGGAACCCACCCAAGCTGGTTACTCCCCACGACAGGTGAGCACTCCAGTTGTGGTGGGCTGCTTAGCCCTGGACCAGGAGAGCCAAACAGAGGGACTGAGCTCAGAGGGGTGGAGGGAAGGAAATGATCTGTGTGCCCATTTCCCACTTCCGGTGATTCTTTAGTTTCCGGTGGTGATGGGAGAGTTGAGGGGCCTGCCCTGGTTCTCGCCTGCTGGCTCTACTCTTGACTGCCTGTGCTGATATGGGGATCCCAAGCACTTCTTGGGGCAGCTGGGTTTTGTGGGTCTTAGCTGCCCACTCTAGCCTGCCCCCTTATTCTTGTTCTTTTCTCCATCCTCGGTCCTTGCTTTCCTGCCCTTGAAAGCCATGGAGGACTCGAGTGTGAGTTTCTTTCCTGAGATTCCTGCCTTTCCCACTTCTTAGCAGTAGGTATTGAGTATTCAGTAGAGGTTAAAATATTGGGGATCACCTCATTCTCTGCAATGTAATGCTTTCCTCCTTCTTGGGAGGAAGCCTTCTGTTCAGAAACACAAACTTGGGAATCCAGGGCCTAGAGCATGTAGGGAGTTTGCCTTGAACGCAGCCAACCCAGTCCCTGCCATCTCATATGGTCCCCTGAGCACTCCCAGGAGTAACCTCTGAGCACTGCCGACTATGGCCTTATAAATAAAAAAGGAACCTGGATTTAGAGCACAGATCTACCTTTTGCCTGGGGAAGCCTTGCACACCTTCTCTGTGGACCCTCGTGTTTTTTCTCACTGACACGGGGGAGAAAAGGAATGCCCACCTTCCTGAGGGCCAGCGGCTGAGTGAGACACCTGAGACGGCTCTCCACCCCTCTTAGGATGGCCGGCTTTGACGGCTCAGCATGGGATGAGGAGGAGGAAGAGCCCCCCGACCATCAGTACTACAACGACTTCCCAGGAAAGGAACCCCCTCTTGGGGGGGTGGTGGACATGAGGCTTCGAGATGGGGCCCTCCCAGGCCCGGCTCGGCCTCCCCCACCCAGTGCCCAGCCTCCCAGCCATCTGGGCGCAACATTGGTAAGTTGCTGGGCTGGAGGGCTGGAGGAAGGGCTGGTTCGGGCTTGTGGTCTCACCTTGGTTTGGTCCCGGCAGCCAGTGGGACAGCCAGCAGGGGGAGACCCAGAAGTTCGAAAACAGATGCCACCGCCACCACCGTGCCCAGGTACAGAAGGAATGAAGGATGGGTGCCAGGGGTGCAGAAGGCAGGGCAGAGTCACTGAGAAGCTGCCTTTCCCTTGGCAGGCCGAGAGCTCTTTGATGACCCCTCCTATGTCAATGTCCAGAACCTGGACAAGGCCCGGCAAGCAGGGGGTGGGGCTGGCCCCCCTCCTGCTGTCAACGGCAGCACACCTCGAGACCTCTTTGACATGAGTGAGTGCCCCACCCTGCCTGATGCTGCTTCTCGCTCGGCTCTGCCAGTAGGCCTGCCCATCTGCTGTGTATCTCTGCTTCCCCTTGACCGAAGGCATCTGGCTGTCTCTCTCTGCATGCCCAGAGCCTTTTGAAGATGCCCTGCGGGGGCCCCCAGCAGCTCCAACAGTGGCAGCGGCAGCAGTGGCTGCGGCGGCTATGGCTGAGCAGCTCCGAGGAGAGCCCTGGTTCCATGGGAAGCTGAGCCGGCGGGAAGCTGAGGCCCTGCTGCAGCTCAATGGGGACTTCCTGGTACGGGAGAGCACGACCACAGCCGGCCAGTATGTGCTCACCGGTTTGCAGAGCGGGCAGCCCAAACACCTGCTCCTGGTGGACCCTGAGGGTGTGGTGAGTGTCTTGTAAGGAGGTGGGGTAGCATCTCTCTCCCCGCTCCAGCATCTCATTCTGCGCTTCAGCGGTGCTCTCTTCAGTCCTGACCCGTCCTCAGATCCACACTCAAGTCCGCACATCTCTGAGCACACCTTGTCCGTGGAGGAGTGATGCTTAGTGGCGAGTGTGGAGAGGCTTAGACATCTCAGGTCTTCTACACGAGGACTCAGGGCCCCCCCGCCTCTGCCAGACTCAGGGTTCATCTGATCTGAGGGATAGGACTGTGGAGAAGGCACTTGCCTTGCAAGAAGCTGACCCGAGTTCAATCCCCAGTATCCCATAAGGTCCCCTGAATCCTTCCAGGAGTGATCCTGAGCACTGAGCCAGGAGTAAACCCTGAGCACCACTGGGTGGGGCCCAAAAACAAATACTGTGGCCCCATCTTCTCTCTGCACCTCTCCCCCAACTTGGGTCTCTTTTTTGCAGCTGTCTGTCCTCACACACCTGCACCAGGTGCCAGTCTGGGACTTGCTGCGTTTTTTGTGGTGCCAGGAGAACTAGAGGTTCCTGTGGGCTGGGGCCCCCTGTGTCTTTCCCCCGATCTCCTGACTTGCCCATGGTCTGTAGGATGGGGACTAACCCTACCCTTTAATGGATGGTGCAGCTGCAGGGGTGGGGGGCGCTGAGGTCTCTGTCCTGTGTCCAGTCACGCTCTCCCTTCCTGCTGCCCAGGTTCGGACTAAGGATCACCGCTTTGAGAGTGTCAGTCACTTGATCAGCTATCACATGGACAACCACTTGCCCATCATATCTGCAGGCAGCGAACTGTGTCTCCAGCAGCCTGTGGAGCGAAAACTGTGACCTCGACTGCGGGATGTATGAAGCTCCTCCAGCCACCCTCGGCCTCTCGGGCTCCTTGGGGAGTGCTCTATGGGCTGGGCCTTGTGGAGGAGATGGGAGAGCAGGGGCTCTGGGTTCAGCCTTCTCTTGAGTGAGAGGGTTTGAGTCAGGAGCCGGGGGTAGAAGCCCACTTCTCCCCAAATTTCACCAAAGTATTAATATACAGAGCGGCCCCCTTGCCTGTGCCAATCTGATCCCCCCTTCCCCCAGAAGGTGGGCACGTGAGACCGGGGCAGTGTGTCCCCTGGTACTGGGACACGCTCTCGGTGACAGGTCTGCAGGAGCAGTCTCTCTTCCAGGGATGGGGAATGAATCACACCACCTCTCCACCCGGGCTCAGGGTAACCCAGACCTCTCTCAGCAACCCTTCCACCTAGTGTTTTTCAACTTTGTGCCTTTGACCATCTCCTAGGTCTGAAGATACTTTATGCAAAGAGGTCTTGGGCCCTCGAGGCCAAGGACAGGGGCCATGACACCTTGGCTTCAGGGTCCCTGTCCTCTCCTTGCTCAGCATCCTCTCCAGTTTAGGTTGGGAGGGCAGACCAGGAGTGGCCACTGTCCCCTCTCCCAGGGGACATGAACCCTTAGTGATTGCCTCGGAGCCCACCTCCCACTGGGGGAGATGGACCCCCTCGGTGTTCAGTGCCTCCTGGTAGAGGCCCCATGCCTAAGGGCTCGGTCTGTGGCCTGTGAGCCCCTCCTCTCTGTGTTGCATGCATGTATTCTCTGCAGCCAAAGTGTAGCCATTCCTCCCTGAACCTATGGGGGTAGGGAGGGGAGGTGGATTTGGGGCCTCCTAAACTCTCCCAGGTGGGTTTTTCGGAGATGGGAACCGGCCTTCAGACTCTAAAAGCAGTGGACAATCCCCTAGTACCATCTGTAGATTTGGAACTGCGTTTTTTATTTTATATGCGTATATTTTGGGGTTGTAGTTCTTTTTGAATTTGTTTTCCATGGCTTATTCTTGAGCATACACAAAAAAAGCCCAAGATGATGTATCAGTTGCATTTATACAACACCTCCTTGATTTTTCAAAAGCCCCTCTATAGCTGTTGATTGATCTTTTCTGTACCTCAGCCTGAAGGCTGCATTACCCTTTTCTACAAGAGACTTCTGAGGTCCAGAGAAGCTGATGAACTAGGCAGGAGACTTTGGGCCCCTGGCATGGTTGGAAGCTGAGATTTGGCTGGATGAATGTTAGTCTCACTCCGGGACATTAAAACCCTGAAGTTTCAGAGGACAGTGTATAACAGCTCCCGGTGTTGGCCCTAGAGAAGGCTGGAAGGTGGGGAGGGGGCGGCTGCCTTCACCTGGTTCTGGTTTAGGCCTTGTGGGCAAGAGAGAATTGTCTCGGTCCTCGCCTACTTTTTTTGTTTTTGTTTTGTTTCCACGTTTTCACGGGTCTTATGATACCAAAGGGAAATAATCTTCATTAAAATCCGTATTTCTTCTACCTGGGCCTCTCCACGCCTGTGTGCCTATTGTTGCCGCGGCCTCGGGTCTGGGAGGGGTCGGGGCTCCAGGCACTGAGCTCGGGCGCCGGGGGTCGCCGGCCGGGTGGGGGCGCCCGCGTGGGGCCCCGAGTGGGTGGGAGGGTCCCGGCGGCCTCGCGCTCGCCCCCGTGCCGGGATGGTACGGCCCGCGCCGGCCGCCCCCTCCGTGCGGGTCGGGCGATTCTTCCGGGCCCCGCCCCCGCCCAGTGGTGCGGTCGCGCCGGCTTCCGCTTCCGGTGGCTGCTGCCGCCGCGGGCGGGCGCTGGGGCTGCGGCGAGAGCCCTGCGGCCGCTGGGCTCGGCGCCTCCGCCTCGCCGCACCCGGGGCCGCCGCCGCCGTCGCTTGGGGGCCCGCGCCGTGCCCCCCACCCCTCCAGGCGATGGTGCCAGCTGAGGGCGCGCCCGTCCCCCGCCGCCACTGACCGGGACCCACACTCCATGGCCGCCTCGGCGCCGCCCCCACCGGACAAGCTGGAGGGAGGTGGCGGCCCCGCACCGCCCCCCGCGCCGCCCAGCACCGGGAGGAAGCAGGGCAAGGCCGGTGAGAGCGCCGGGGGGCCGGCGAGGTGGCCGGCTCGGGGGTCCTCGGCTGGGGGTGGGGGAGGAGGCCCCGGGCTTGAGGATGGCAGGGGGCAGCCCTTCTGGAGCCGGGGGCAGGTACCAGATAGAGCATCTCAGGGCTTGGAGGCACCCGGGGTAGGGGGTCCTGGCGGGGGGCCGGGCGCGCCGTGTGTCGGGAGAATGCCTGTGAGCGCGGGAGAAGCGCAGGCAAACGTGGGTCGCCTGTTGCTTTTTCAGGTTTGCAAATGAAGAGCCCGGAAAAGAAGCGGCGCAAGTCCAATACGCAGGTGAGAGGTGGTGGGTGACTGAGGTGATCCACTAGCCCCGCAGGAACCCCCTCTCCAGCCCCAGGCGCAGGAGCAGAGAAAGCACGTCCATGTTTCTGGTCTTCTGCCTCCCAGCGGGGTGTGGGAAGATGATTTAACCAGAAACCTCAGGGCTGTTTCTGTGCTTTGCGCCCATTTTTCCTGGCCTGGCCCCTTCACAAGAACCCTTTTATTTATTTTTTCCTTTGAGGTGGGAAAAGGGAAGGTAGGGCCACACTCCTGGCTCTGTGCTTCAGGGATCACTGCTGAGGAGCTGGGGATCAAACTTGGTTGGGCCTGCTGCGTGCACAGCTAGTGCCTTAACCCCTGTCCTGACTCTCCGACCCTCAGCATCTTTTCAGAGGACTGGGGCTGTGCTTGCTTGCTTTCAGGATGGGGCAGACATGGTGCTCTTTCCCTTTCGAAGATGAGAAAGCTGAGCCTTGGGCCTGCATACCCAGGGTTAGAGCTGGCATTCCAGCCTAGTTCTGCCCTGCTCGTAACCTCCCGTTTCTTCCAAGTGCCCTCTTGTTGCAGATCAGAGCTGGCTAGTGCTGGGCTCCAGATGTGTCTCTCCCAGATCTGTTCTAGTTCCTTCTGTTTGGTGATGCCTACCCCTCCCTTCTCTGCTCCCCACCAGGGCCCTGCCTACTCACACCTGACGGAGTTCGCGCCACCCCCCACGCCCATGGTGGATCATCTGGTCGCATCCAATCCTTTTGAAGATGACTTTGGTGCCCCTAAGGTGGGGGGTGCGGCTCCTCCGTTCCTGGGCAGTCCTGTGCCCTTTGGAGGTTTCCGTGTACAGGGGGGCATGGCAGGCCAGGTGCCCCCAGGCTACGGCACAGGGGGAGGAGGGGGCCCCCAGCCTCTTCGTCGACAGCCCCCTCCATTTCCTCCCAATCCTATGGGCCCAACTTTCAACATGCCCCCCCAGGGCCCTGGCTACGCTCCCCCAAGCAACATGAACTTTCCCAGCCAACCCTTCAACCAACCTCTGGGCCAGAACTTTAGTCCTCCTGGTGGGCAGATGATGCCAGGCCCGGTTGGGGGCTTTGGCCCTATGATCTCACCCACCATGGGCCAACCTCCCAGAGGGGAGCTGGGCCCCCCTTCCATCCCTCAGCGTTTTGCCCAGCCCGGGGCACCTTTCGGCCCTACTCCTCTCCAGAGACCTGGACAGGGACTCCCCAGCCTGCCCCCCAACACAAGTCCCTTCCCTGGCCCAGATCCAGGCTTTCCTGGCCCCGGGGGCGAGGATGGGGGGAAGCCCTTGAACCCACCTGCTCCTACAGCTTTTCCCCAGGAGCCTCACTCAGGCTCCCCGGCTGCCGCAGTTAATGGGAATCAGCCCAGTTTCCCTCCAAACAGCACTGGGCGTGGTGGAGGCACCCCAGAGGCCAACAGCCTGGTACCCCCCAGCAAGGCCGGCGGGGGCTCTGGGCCCCAGCCGCCCCCAGGCCTGGTATACCCCTGCGGTGCCTGTCGGAGTGAAGTGAATGATGACCAGGATGCCATTCTTTGCGAGGCCTCGTGCCAGAAATGGTTCCACCGCGAGTGCACGGGCATGACTGAGAGCGCCTACGGGCTGCTCACCACAGAGGCCTCGGCTGTCTGGGCCTGCGACCTCTGCCTCAAGACCAAGGAGATCCAGTCCGTCTACATCCGTGAGGGCATGGGGCAGCTGGTGGCTGCCAACGACGGCTGATAGGGCGAGGTGGCAAGGCAGCACGCACATCCCTCGGCATGCCTCTAGGATGATCGGGCATCTGTTTCCAGTGGCTTCCCAGCGCCAATGGGGGCCGGAAGAGGGACTCTGCGGGGCAGGCCGAAGAGCCAGAGCACTCACCTTTCTGGAAACTAACACTTTGAGATCTACAGGGATCCAGGAAACCAAAACCCTGTGGTCGTGTCTGAAGGCCTGGGCCAGCGATTTGGAAGAGGAAAGTGGCAGGGAGAAAAATCTGGTGGTTCATGCTGGCCCCTCCGCACCTGTGCCCAGCATTTGGGTCTCTCCCACAGCACCGGCCTTGGATTTTGGAGTCAAGTGTTAAATATTTCTGGTCAGCAGAGTTGGAGACTGTTCCCATCTCTACCATAGCCCTTTCTGGGGGCTCTGGGTCACAGCTTTAGGGAATAAGGAGGGCGTTCCCCTCCCTTTCCCTAACATCCCCTAGCCTCTGAGACCGTAGCAGAGGAGGCAGAGATCTTGGCTCTGGCGGTGATCAGGCCAGCAGTACAGTTGGGTAAGAGATACTGTCTGCAGGATACAGTTCCCGCATACCAAAGCTTCTGGCCTTTCTCAGCCCCTCATACTTGGCGCCTAAGGATCACTTTTTTTTTGGGGGGGGTGGTCAAAAATAATTGGGATAAGTGGTCCGACAGCAGAATCTTTGATGTTTGGACTGGCTTAGCAGCTTGGATTCTGTGGCTATGCCCCTCGCCCCCCACACCTTTTGCCCATCTGTTGCACATTTCTTTCAGCACTAGTTTTCAGTTGGTATGTCTGTCCTTGCCTGCTCTGGACCTGACTGCAGAGCAGCTTGATACAGAGTCCTGGTATACCTCATTTCCCCTCCTGGCGAAAGGATCCCTACGAGGCCCTGCCATGCTTTGGGGGGTGGGGTGCACCCATCTCTTCCCCCACTGCCGTGATACTGCAGCTTAGAAGCAGGGATGTCTTTGCTTCCCTCTCCCCACCGCTTTCTTTTCCTCCTCCCCACCAGAACCCTGCTTAGGTTTGATTTGATTTGCAGTTTCAGCACAGCATTGCCAGAGATGCAGCTGTTGCTCCTTCCAGTTAGCACACACCGCCATCAGGCGGGTGGGGAAAGCCAGTCGCCCCACATTGGCCTCAGGCCCCCATGTCAGCATCTCTTGGGAAGAGAGATGGGGTCTAGTGCAGAACTCGCCCGCCTCACCAGCAGATGCCAGCAGCCACGAGAAAGGGAGAAAGCCAGGGCTGTGGGCCTCTCCCCGGTGTCGCCTGCACAACAGTGTAGGTGGTGCCCTGCCCAGCTGTCACGTCTGTGCTGTTCCAGCCCCTCTGCAGTCCGTTGCTATTTTTGTGTTGTGTCCCCACTGCCGCGTTTTGTACAATGACTCCCGAGGGAGAGTCTGCCTAGTCCCTCTCGCTCACTCCACTAATTTTTGGAAGAACATGGGGTTGGCAGAAATGTGGGGAGGGTCTTTTGTACGGTTGGATTAATAAAATGATTTGAAAACCCAAACGAGGACTCTGTCGTTCTGTGGGCTAAGGTTGAAATGAGCTGGCGAGTTGGGGGTGAGACTGCATTGGCCCTCCCCTCCCTTACCCCCCCCCCCCCAATTGGGAATGGCAGGATTGAGCAGAGCCCAACCTGCTGGGCAGCCCTCCCTGCCCACTGTTTCTGCCCAGGAACTGAGTTTCTTTTCTGAGCACATTCCTAGGCCAGGCCTGCAGTCAAGCGCCAGCTTTAGCTCCAAGGCCACCGAGGACAAGTGCCTTTAGTGCTTCTGCGTTCAGGGCCAACCTCCCCGACCCCTTGGGCCCCGGTTGGGCTAGGGGTGCCCCTGATTCGGGTAGGTTTCAGAGTCAGAAATCAGGCTCTGCATAGGTCTCCCGCGTGTCCCCTCCCCACCCCCCCCGTTTTTTTTTTATGCAGCAGCAACTCCTGGAGTTGCTTGGACAATGGCAGGACAGCTGTGTCCATGCCCTCGTCACCACTTCCCTCCCCTCCCCGCGACTGCACCTGTCTCTGTCCATCCTAGGGCCAAGCTGGTCCCTTGTCCTTGCCGACTCTGGGAATCTCCCCTTTCCCCTTTCAGTTTCGGGTCCTCTCTAGAGAAACGGTTCAGACACTGGAAAAGGGAGCAGATGACAAACACCTTTCAGCTCCGCAGCAACCCTCTCCCCCAAAGGTGCTTGAGGGTAGGGGTAGGGGCCTGGCCGTGCCCTAGGGCTCAATCCCTGCTCTTATTGGCCCAAAGTTTCCGCCCCCCACTCAGGGAAGTTGGCTTTCTATTGGCCACTGCTCGTCACATGACCCTCCCTCCTGGCTTGGGCAGGAACCCAGGGGAGGCAGCAACAAGTTGAGCTGAAGACTGCAGGCGAGCGCCGGGTCAGGTACGGGGCTGACCGGGGAGGGACCCCCAACCCTGCGCGCATGAGGACGAGGCTGAGGAAGGCTGAGCCCCGGCCTAGGTTCGCGGGACCTTTGCGGAGCTGCTGGTCCCTGCGGGGCGCGAGGGGAGGCGGGGCGGGGGTACAGGGAGCGCCTGGACTGTGTTTCCCAAGCAGGAGTTTGATCTGGGCCCCCCCAGTTCTTTTGGGCCCAGGCCCTTCGCTTGGATTTGGGGGAGCAGCTGTTGAAAGGGGTTGAATGGAGCCAACCCAGACTTAGGAACTTTGTAGAGTGGGATAGCTCCCTCTTAAGCTGTGTCTGAGAAATAGCAGCGGCTTCTGCCAATCCCTAAGGGATGTTTTTGTTGAATCCCGCCTGATGGAAGGAGGGGGTGGTGGCGAGGCGGTGGAGGTGGGTTTGCTTCCGAAAGGAAGAGATTCTAAATCAGATTCTAAATCAGAATGAGAAGAAAGAGATTCTAAATCAGCGTGGAAGGGGGAAGTAGGGCCGTAGAAGGAACTTCCTAATAAGGCCGTGAGATGCTGGCTTGCAAGAAATGGGGTCTCCTGGAATCCTGGGTGAACCCAGTCAGGAGAGCAAGTGGCATCAGGTTTTGGGACCCCAAGAGCAGGGATCTGAGATCACCCCCTGTTTGGGTCTCAGAAGTGTCTGTCTTGTTGACCCACATACCATTGCTGGTTTCCATGGAGACAGTCTGACATCACCCCGGTTGCCATGGTGCCTGGTTCTGGAGGACCTGAGCAGGCTGTACGCAGCCAGGGATAAACAGGGACTTCAGCTCAAGCTGCTGCCACTTCCTTCCTGCCACCACCTGTTAACAGTCACATGCAGAACTGGGGATGGGGAGACGATGATGACAACAGTGGGGGAGGGGCTCTGTTTAGCGTGGAACAGAACCTGGCCCAGCCTCCCCTCTCCTGTAGGATGAGGCTGTGTGTCCACACCTGGTGGGCTTGGGGACAGAGCCTAGAGGAGTTCCAGACCTCACTTCCTTTGTGCTGTCTCTAGTGCCGAGCTGCATCGTGATTGACCAAGGCTACAGAAAGGTATTAGGGTGCTGTGTTCCTGCTCAAAGAGACAGGCCCAGGCTGGGGAGGTAGGACAGGGGGAAAGCACTTGCCTTATGGCCTACCCAGGTTCAATCCCTGGCACCACATAGGCACCCCCAGCCCCGCCAGGAGTGATCCCTGAGCACAGAGCCTGGAGTAAGCCCTGAGTACTGCCTGGTGTGGCTCAAAAACCAAGGAACCAAAAAACCCAGGGGGCAGTGTAGGGGCTCCTGAGGGAGCTGGGGGACTGCAGTGCTTCTCTTTCCTAGGTTTCCGTGTGGAATCCTTGTCTACACACTCCCCTTCCTGTTCCTAACAAGTGCTTCCACTCCACCTGGGGAGCCCCCTCTGTACCCTCCTCTGCCCAGCCCTGATTGATGCTGCTCTTGTCTTGACCTTGATCCTTCCCTTCTCACCCCACACTGTCAGGCTATTTTTTGTTTTTCTCTGAAGCGGGGGTGGGGGGGCACTCTCACACTGTGCTCTGGAGGGCAGGAGGCCAACAGCTCAGGTCTTGGGTCTGGTGATGCCATGATGCTCAGGACCAGTGGTGTTGAGGGCTACCAGGACCACCCTGGGATTGCTGGGAGGGGCTGTGGAATGTCAGCAACTGAAGTCAGGACCTAGTGCATATAAGGAAGGCATTTCTGACCTCTGACCTCTGACCCCGGACCCCTGAGCTAGTTCCCTGGTCCAGGCAGAGCTGGGGCTCCAGAGAGACTCTTCCCACTGATGCTGGTCAGGTCAGAGGGCAGTGTCCCGATTTGTGTCCATGTTTGGCAGACTATAAAGTGCTTTATACAGGGTGGTTGGTCCTAACTCCCTTTTTCCAGTCACCTTCAAGTCCCCTAGAGAAAACAAAACAAACAGAAGGAAGACTGATTCAGAGGGGAGAAAAAGAGTGACATCAGTGGAACCAGTTGTTCTCAACCCTGGCTGACTGTGGGAATCATCTGGGAGATTTTTTTAAATGACCGAAGTGTGGGCTGGGGTGAGCGGTCAGTGGGCTGGAGTGCAGGCCTGGTATTCAGGGTGGGAGCCTGCTATGGTATGGCTCCCTAGCACCGTAGCGTGTCCCTGAGTCTGGAGCTGGGGGTAGCCCCTGAGTGCCACCACACGTGAGCCAGAAACCAAATAAAAGAGAACACAGCACGAGCGCACCGTGGGGACCTCAGAATTAACGTGTGTGTGTGTGTGTGTGTGTGTGTGTGTGTGTGTAAGAAGACAGCCCTACAGGCATAGACGCTGCCAAGTCCTCTCTTCCAGGCCCTGGGGGTACAGGCTAGTGAGAGGAATGCTTCTTTTTCTTACTTTTCTTAGCAAAGTCCTTGGCAAATCAGGCCAGTTGGCCTTTCTGGGCTTTATTTTCCCGGACTCTAATTGGAGGGCGCTGGCTCTTTCCCAGACCCTTTCCAGCCCTTGACCTCTCAAGATCATTTCTGGTTCCCAAGGCCCCGTGCCCGTTGGCAGCCTGTAATTTTCCAGGCAAATGTGATCCAGAATTGTTGAGGCGTCGGGGACCCAAGTACGGGTGGGTGAGGGTTACAACCTGGAATGCTGCCTAGGCTTTTAAATCCCCTTTAAACTGGGGGTGTCAGCTGAGCCTGCCCTCTGCCTCTGCTCTCTCCCGGAGGCTGCTGGGGCCTGATGAGAGCTTTTTCTGCAGGTGACCGCCGTCGCTACCACCTAAGGAGACCTCAGCAACGATGGCCTCCTGCCCAGATGCGGACAATAGCTGGGTGCTCGCAGGCTCAGAGGTAGGGGAGCAGCCTCGGAACCCCAGAGACGGGTCCTGATGGATGCCTGGACCTATTCTGCAGACTTAAGGGTGCGAACTCTAGTGACAGGGGATCAGGCCCCAAGGAGCAGGGTCTGAGGATTGGATTTAGCCTTGAGAGAAAGGAACTGATAGCATCAGTTGTAAAAAGTTGGACAGAAATTCTGGCCGGACAACCTGCACAAGCAAAGGTCCTGAGGCCATACTAGGGAAGACATTTTATGGTGGGAGGTGGGGAGTGGGGGAGACTAAGGAGGTTCAGAGCCGGTTTTCGAGTAAGGGCATAGAATTTGGGAGTCCCCTGGAAGAGGCCTGCAAGGGCTGAGATTGTGGGGGATGGGATGCAGGTAGGCTCTGCATTTGGGCCTCATCTCTGTGAGAAGTCCCTGAGAGCAGTAGGTGCTGGTGGTAGAGTCAGCTGCTTCTGGGCAGAGTGGAGCCTGTGGGCTACTGGTACAGTGGGGTTGGAAGGGCCTGCACCCAGGAAGTTATTGGTGGAGGCAGCTGTGGAGAAGAGGAAGGGCAGAATATGGGCACTGTGTGGTGGGGTAGGTAGGAGGTTTGTCAGGGAATAAAGCACTGCACCGTAGCACTGTCCTCCTGTTGTTCATTGATTTGCTCGAGCGGGCCCAGCAACATCTCCATTGTGAGACTTGTTGTTACTGTTTTTGGTATATCGAATACATCACGGGTAGTTTGCCAGGCTTTGCTGTGCAGGTGAGCTACTCCCTCGGTAGCTTGCTGGGCTCTTTGAGAGGGGCGGAGGAATCCAATCCAGGTCGGCCAGGTCGGCTGGCCGCGTGCAAGGCAAATGCCCTACCGCTGTGTTATTGCTCCAGCCCAGAAAATCAAACTCCAGGTAATTTGCACATTAGTGTCTCCTTCTGGAGGACCAAGAGCAAGACCAGAGGAGGGGGAGAAGGGAGAAAAGGGAGGAGGGGCAAGGGGGGGTGGAGGGGGAGGAAGAGGAGGAGGGAGGTACAGAAGTATTTTTGTTTAGATCCCTGGTCTCCAGTTGGGCTTTTCTTGCCTCTGTGCTCCTCTGTTAAGTGGGGGCTGCTGAATCTTATACTGTGAATGAAAGAAAAGTTATTTGGTAGTGTCAAGGAAACAGAGTAAGGTTAAGAATGAGGGTTTGGTGTGACTGAAACTCAAACATGAAAGCTTTGTAACTGTATCTCATGGTGATTCAATTAAAAAAACAAGAAAAAGAGGAAAGAGAATGAGGGCTTGAGGGGCTGGATAGTACAGCAGGGAGGGTATTTGCCTCACATGTGGATGACCTGGGTTTGATCCCCAGCATCACATTTGGTCCCTCCAGCACTGCCAGGAGTAATTCCTGAGTGCAGAGCCAGGAGTAACCCAAGTATCTCCCCCAAACAAACAAAAATTGAATGATGGCTTGGTTTTATCCCTGGCAACACACACACACACACACACACACACACAGAATTAATCCTGGAGGGGTACCAAGAGGTGTGGGTGGCATGGGCCTGTGGAGGCGGGTTAGTGGCAGAGAGGAGAGGCTGGGCATGACAGATTGTTGGTGGGTGAAGGGAAGATCTAAAGTGAATGGCGGTTGGTGGGCGCATGACTGTACCTCGCTCTGTTTTCTCATGGCCCAAACAATCATTGACGTGGTCCTTCGTCAGGAAGGCGGGAGAGAAGTGTTGTTGGTGGGGAGGGAGATCCCGTTATTTATTTATTTGCTTTTGGCTTTAGGGTCACTCCTGGGTCTGTGCTCAGGGATCTCTCTTGGCGGGGCTTAGGGGGCCCTAAGCGGGGTGCCAGGGATCTAAGGAAGCACCTTGACTCCTGTGTTTTCTCTCTGGCCCCTGTTCAGAGATTTATTCACAGGGACTTGATGACAGTTCTGGGACGGACCAGAACTGTGAGACGTGGCTGGGGGTTCTGAGCCCCACAGCCAGTTCGGGATGTTGGCAGAAGCACCCTGTGCTTCTGATTTTGTGTTCTCTGCTTGTGTCCCTTCCCCAGAGCCTGCCCGTGGAGACCCTGGGCCCAGAGTCAAGGGTGGTCCTAGAAACTGAGAGAGTTCCCCCAGCTCCTCACAGCCCCTCACAGTCTGCTGCTGAAGCTGGGATCCCAAGCGGCCAAGGTAACATCCTTGCTTGCGAGGGTGTGTGGGGTCCTCGCTGCTGGGCTCTTGGGGTCTCGTTTCCTCAAAAAGGGACCCTGCTTTGTCTGCCTCCCTGCCCCATTGCTCCCAGCCTCCCTGCAGCTCTCCCCCTGGGCGGGCTGGAGGGGCTCACGGGCCTCATGGATACTCATCTCAGTATTGTTCCCACCACAGAGCCCGTCTCCCAGAGCGATGGCTCCCAGGATGGCTCAGTCCCACCAGGGGAGCCTAAGGCGCAGGTAAGGGGATGCCAGGGCTCAGGGAGGGCTGCAGGGGGTGGAGCTGCTCATGGCCATGTCTGGACAGGGCATCCTGGAAGCTGAGGGCCCCGACGTGGAACCGCCTGGCCCCGGAGACACGCAGCTGCCAGGAGACTCGGAGGAGCCCCCCTCAGAGAAGCCCTCCGTAGAGGAGCACCCTGTGGAGGCAGACTCGGATATAGCTGTTCCGGAGGAGCCCCCCGTGTCTGGGGACACCGGGTCCAGGAGCCAGCCCCCGCCCCCGCTCCACAAAGCTGGTGAGCTTCTGGTCTCCTTGCCTCTGTGGGCAGCACTCCGGCCCAGACCCCCAGGCTCAGTGCTTGGTTCCTCTCAGTGACTTCCGTGACCTCTCCACACCGCCCCTGAGGACTGGAGGTTTTTTTTGTGAGGTCACCCAGCTGGCAGGTTGGGACCGGGCTGTGGGACTCTCGGTCCCTGAGTCCCCCCTGTGTGGGCCCGAAAAAGTCAGAGACGGGGCTTGTGGCCATCCTCAGCGCTGAGCTGAGCTGCCAGTCTGAGCAGTGGGGGTGCAGGAAAGCAGGGGCCTTCGGGTGTTTTCTGTGCAGGGGGGTGGTCCCATGGGTACGGGCGCAGGGGAAGGAGAGAGGCAGGGCTGTGTGTGTGTGTGTGTGGCAGGTTCCACAGGAAGAGATATTTGCATGGGGAATAAGCAGGCGGGTAGGAGGAAGAGAATGTTCCAGCCAAGCCTGCAGCCAAAGTGGGCAAAGGCCCCACCCCTTTTGAAGGTGGTGTTGGGGGGGCCGTGTGTGGCTTCTCTCTGGGCATGGGTGGCAGGGAGGGGGGCGGAGGCCATGTCGCGGGCCTGGCCAACTCGGGCCTGGGGTTGGAGAAGCCGCTAGTGCCGTGGCAGCCTGTGTGGTGACAGGCGCAGAGCCTGAAGTGGTTCCTGGGAGATGTGGGGGTGGGGGTGGGGGGCACGGAGCAGCACCCCGCGTCGGGAGGGGACAGGACGGCGATGCAGGGCACTCACCCGGGATGGAGGGGGCCGGGTACAAGTTGCTGGAGGAAGTTTGGGGAGGAAGGGGCCGGTGTCCGCCTCTGCACTCCAGGGAGATGTGGCTGAGTGCTCCTGGCCCCACCTGTACTGGGGTGGGCTGGTGCCTCTGCCCGTGATGCCTCACTGGCTTCCGACCCCCCAGAGTGGCTCAGGACCGGGGCCCAGCGCTCCAGCAGCGATGATGACACCGATGTGGATGTGGAGGGCCTGCGCAGGCGACGGGGCCGTGACCCGGGGCCCCCTCGGCCTGTGGCCTCCCTGGGCATGTCCGAGCCAGCCAGGCAGGAAGAAGCAGGTTGGGAACTGGGCATCTCCCTCAATATGTGCCTCCTCGGGGCCCTGGTGCTGCTGGGCCTGGGCATCCTGCTCTTCTCTGGTGAGTGTCTGCTCCCCTAGCCTGCGGGCCCCCCCAGTGCCCTGGTGCCCCTGGGCCTCACGGGAGCATTGTCTCCATCCTCAGGTGGCCTCTCGGAGTCTGAGAGTGGTGAGTGTCCCCGGCTTGTGCTGGGCGGGAGGCCGGCTGACCTCTGGGGCTCTCTGGATCAGGGAGGGTGATCCTGAGAGGCTCCCTCGCCCCCCTGTGCACCCATAGCCTATTTGTGGCCCGGGTCAAGTGACCCTTGGGGCTGGAGAGACAGTCCAGCAGGCAGGGCACATGCCTGGTATGTGGCTCACCCAGGGAACTCCATGTCCCATATGGTCCCCGGAGCACCACCAGGAGTGATAACCAGTGTAGAGCTAGGAGTAACCCCTAAGCATCACTGGATGTGACCCAAAACCAAAACAAACAAGAAGAACAGCCAAACAGAAAAAATGACTCTCAAAGGGTGGCCAGCACCCACCCTTTAAACCAGAGGGTGGGTACCGGCCAAGAGGGCAGCAGTGGGGGGTGGGGGGGAGGACCAGCCTGGGGCCATGTCAGGATTTCTCTTCCCCACACAGGGCCCACCACGGAGGAAGCAGAGGCACAGGAATTTGTGGACTCTGAGGGGCCTGATGCCAGGGGGCCCGGGCAGGTGGGTGTGAGTGTCTGGTGGGGGAGGGGGAGGGGAGGAGGCCAGGCTGCTCAGCTCAGGAGAGGTAATTGGCTCTCTGCCCTCAGGTGGGGCCCAGGCAGCAGCCCTCAGCATCCCCCGAAGGTGCCCTGAGCCTGCAGAGCATGGCCCTGCTCCTGGACAAGCTGGCGAAGGAGAACCAGGATATCCGGCTGCTGCAGGCACAGTTGCAGGTTGGCATAAAGCGAGAGGCTGGGCCTGACGTGCGTCTGTCTTTATGTTCCCAAGACAAGGGTCCTCCCTCTGCACGTTTGACCCCTGCCCTTCGCAGATCCTCCTGGATCCTATATCCAGATCCTCTTCCTAGCCTCAGGGCTCACTGTCACTGCTTCTCTCTTTTTTATTTGGCCTGGCTGTGTTCAGGGCTCACTCCTGGCAGTGCTCAGGGAACCCTGTTGGTGAAAAGTGCTTTCACCTTTGTCCTATCTCTACAGCCGCTGGTTTTCTCTCCTTGTGTCCTTCATGCTGAGTTTTAAAGCAGGTTTAGCACCCGCCCCACGTGCTTGTGTGGGAAGGCTGAGAGGGCCAGATCAAGGCTTGGTGGGAGAGAAGTGCTGGGATTGACTTGTCATGTCTGCATGACACACAGGAGCAGCTGGGGTAGGGTGGGGCAGCGGGGTGCTGAGCTCCACAGGGTGGGGCAGGGTGGGGCAGCGGGGTGCTGAGCACTATAGCTGGCTCACCCCAGAAGGACAGAGAAGGTGAGGCATGTGATAGGATTTGGTATTCTAGGTTCCAGAGCAGAGAGCAGATGGGGAAGGAGATGAGAACCAAACTCAGTGTGTGTGTGTGTGTGTGTGTGTGTGTGTGTGTGTGTGTGTGTGTCTGTGTGTGTTTAGGGTCTTCCCAAACTGTGCTTGGGGGCCCTATGGGCCCTCCTGGTGAGGCTGGCCGGCCTGAATGCAGTGCTGCTTGGGCTACAGGTCAAATGCAGCTCTTGTGCAGATAAGGCAAGTACCATCCCACCCCCTCTCAACCCTGTACCCCCCAGCTGCCTCCCTGGCTCGAGAACCACATCCTCTCAGTCTCCCAGAACCATACAGGGGCTCAGGCCACCCGCCAGGACAGTGCAAGGGTGCTGGGGTTGAGAGTCCCGGGCCCGTCCTTGTTCCTGATGCACCCATGGTGTGACCCCACTGCAGACCCAGAAGGAGGAGCTCCAGAGCCTGCTGCATCAGCCCAGGGGGCTCGAGGAGGAGAACGCGCAGCTGCGGGGAGCCCTGCAGCAGGGCCAGGCGTCCCAGCGGGCTCTGGAGTCGGAGCTGCAGCAGCTGCGGGCCCGGCTGCAGGGCCTGGAGGCCGACTGTGAGCGGGGCACGGACGGGGTGTGCCTGGGCCGGGGCATGGGGCCCCGGGGGGGCCCAGTCCCCCGGGAGCCAGGCCCCGGCTTCCTGGAGCAGCAGCAGCGGCTGGAGGCTGAGGCCCAGGCCCTGCGGCGAGAGCTGGAGCGGCAGCGGCAGCTGCTGGGCTCCGCGTGGCAGGACCTGGAGCGCGGCCTGAAGCACGTGAGCAGAGGTGATGGGGCGGCGGCCGACCTGGCCGACCTGGACCTCAAGCTGGCCCGGAAGCTGGAGGGCCTGCAGCACCCCTGGGGCCAGGACTCTGGGGTGCCCGCAAACACCTCGAAGCCTTGGCGTCAGGAGCCTCGGTCCCCGAGCGCCAAGGAGCGGAGTGGCCGGGAGAAGTGGCAGGATAGTCAGGGCCACCGAAAGGCCGAGCCCTGGAAGCACCAGAAGGAGGAGTCGGGCTGGGAGAGGAAGAAGAGCTGGGGGGGCGAGGCTGGGGGGCCGTCAGGGAGCTGGAAGGACGGCAAGCGAGAGGGCCAGCGGCAGCACCCCCAGGAGCACCCCAGGAGAAGTGGGAACCCCCACTCCTCTGCGGAAAGACAGAAGCATCCTCGGTGGAGAGAAGAGGCTACAGACCGGCATGACCGCCCGCTCTGGGCAGAGCTGTCCAGGCGCAAGTACCGGGCCCCGCAGGGCTGCTCAGGGCTGCGTGACTGTGCCCGGCAGGAGGGCCTGGCCCTCTTTGGCACCGAGCTGGCACCCGTGCGGCAGGAGGAGCTGGCCTCAGTGCTTAGCACCTATCTGGCGCGGCTGCCCTGGGCCGGCCCCATGCGCCAGGAGCTTCCCCTGTCCCCGGCTTACTTCAGCGAGGATGGCTTCTTTCGCCATGACCGCTTCCGTTTCCGGGACTTTGTGGATGCCCTGGAGGACAGCCTGGAGGAAGCAGCCGTGAGGCAGACGGGGGATGACGATGTGGTGGATGACTTTGAGGACTTCATCTTCAACCACTTCTTTGGGGAGAAAGCACTGAAGAAGAGGTGGGCAGTGATGGGGGGAGGGGAGCGGTCATGGGGCTGAGGCGGTGGTATGCTGGGAAGTCATCTCAGGCCTCAAGAGGCCATCATCTTTCTCCCGCAGAGGGTGGGAGCCGCCCTGCCCTGCCCTGGTCCCAGTGCATCCCCTTGTGAGCTGCAGGACTTCCCCTCCTGACTCACGGGGCTTGCCTCTACCTGCACGGGCCTGGGGGTAGGGCAGGAGCCTGGCGGGCAGGGGCAGATCAGGGCTGGTCCTAAGATGGGATTGGGGGGGGGCACAGGGTGGCCTCTCCCCAGGGAGCCCCTGGTCCATCGCAGGGTTTTGTTCTCTCAAGGCATCTTCCTCCTCACCCTCTTCCAGGTCCGGGAAGAAGGACAAGAGCTCCTGGAGCCCCCGAGTGGTGGGGCCGCGTGAGGAGCACAGCCAGCACCACAGGGGCTGAGGCCAGCGAGGGCCACTTCAGGGTCTTGGACAGCGGGAATAGCAGAGCCTTTGGGTAGCAGAGCACAGCCCGAGCCTAGGAGCCAGCACCACTAGGCTGGCCGACACTGGTCTGGCGGGCTATGCAAATGTATGCAAATGCAGAGCCTGTTTGCGGCGGCGGCTGGGGAGAGCAGCCTGAGCAGGGGCGGGAGGAGTTGGGTGAGTGGTGGCCCGTATGACCTTCCTATTCTGAAGCCAAATGCTTTCCTCCTGTGTGTGTGTGCACGCGTGTGTGCCCCCGTGGGGACCCTGGGACCCCACTCTGGCCAAGCGTCGCTGACTGGAGGCTGTCCCTCGGGTTGTCTCCAGACAATGAAGTTCCTTTTGCACCCAGCCCTCACATGGCCTCAATGCCCTTCAGCCTCCCGTCCCAGGAAAACGCTGTTTGGGCTGTGGCATCGGTGGAGAGGGTTCCTTGGCCCGGGGTGTCCCACACCCACCACCGTTCTAGACACTGGCACTCACCTCCTTTCCCTCACCCGGGATGCCCCGGCCCTCTGGGGTGATGCTCCCTACTGGTGCTCAGGGACCTGGGCTGCACCTCCCCTCTCTGCACAGAAAATGAATGCGGGTGTTGGAGTCTGAGCTTCGGGCTCTAATCTGGGCTCAGTGATCTGAGCCACTTAATTCGGGAGCCTTGGGGTTATGTGTTTCAGAAAAGAGAATGGAAATAAAACCGTGTAAACCTGTGGCCTGGCGGGTGTGTCTCACTGTCTGGGCTGTCTCGCAGGGGATGACCCCCCCCCCAGCCTGGATTCTGGGAGTGGGAGCTGCAGGAGCCACTAGGTGGCGCCCTGGCTCCAGGATTGCTCAAAACTCCCCCACTACTTCAAGTCCCACCACCCAGTGGACTGGCAGCTGCTCCATGGTCAAAGTCCCCCAAGAAAATATGAGCTCCAGGGCTGGAACTATAGCACAGCGGGTTTGCATGCACGTGGCCGACCGGGTTTCGATCCCCAGCATCCCATATGGTTCCCTGAGCACAGCTGGGAGTAATTCCTGAGTGCAGAGCCAGGAGTAAACCCTGAGCCAACGTTGCCGGGTGTGACCCGAAAAGCGAAACAGATAAAAAAGGAAAATATGAGCTCCCCTGCACTGCTCTGAGAAGGGCCTTCCTGATCAGGTTCCCTAACTGCCCCAAGAAATGTCCCAGCAAGTGGGGTGGCCTGGGGCGGGGTGCAGCAGAACAAAGGGCCTCACAGTGGTGAGCAAAGGGGGTGGAGGGGTATCATTGACTTTTTTTGGGGGGTGCTCAGGGATTACTCCTGGCTCTGTGCTCAGGGGTCAGTCCTGTTGGGGCTTGGGGCTTCCTTTGAGGTGCTGGGGATCGATCCCAGGTTGACCACGTACAAGGCAAGTGTCTACCCTCTGTACTCTCTGGCCCTACTTCTGTTTTTTGTTTGTTTTTGTGTGTGCTCAGAGGGTCACGGGCTCCCTTCCTAGTGAATCCCCGCCAACAGAGCCCGATGGTTCCTGCAGTGTGATGCTGCCAAGGTCCAGTGGTGCCGGGACCATCAGGGCGACGCCTAGTGGTGCTCAGGGAACCATGCAGTGCCAGGGACTGAATTTGAGGCCTTGGCACATGCAAGGCATATGCTCCAGCTCCCTAAGCTCTCGTCTCAACTGAGGGTCTTTTCTTTTTGGAGAGGGTTAGGCAGCGAGAGGACCAGTTGGGAGGCTGGTTGGCCTCCCTCCTCTGTGGGTCACTGACACCTGGAGAAAGATGCTTAGTCCTGGGCACCACTGCGCTTCAACCCCTGCTGTCAATCAAACCCTGATAAACTGGGTTTCCAGCAGGGGTTGAAGCTAGAGGGCAGGCAGGACTCAAGGTGCTGGGGGGGGGGCAGGGGGGAGGGCTGGACTCCCAGGAGGGGCACACAGGCTGGCCTCCCTGGGGATGTGTAGGCCGCAGGGTTTAATTTCTGGGGCTCACTTCCTTCATTTGCATAACGGTCTCAGGGAGGCTGGGAAGCACCCCCTGAACCCAAGTCTGTCTCACCTGTTCCGGAAGTTTCTGAAGCAGCTGACTCAAGACAGAAAGAGCTGGGAACCCCAGGGGCTGTGGGGGTGGGCCAACTCAGGGGTAGGGGGGGCACCGGCAGCTATGATCCCAGTTCCCCCTGCAACAAACACGCACTCATGCACGCACCTACCTCACACACTTACTGCCCACCCGCAGCGCCTAATGCACGCTCATGCACTTCCTGCACACATGCACCTTCTGCATGCTCTCCTGCACCTCCTGCACACATGCATGCCCTCTGCAGCGCACAGAGCAGGCGCCTGGGGCCCTCCTCACTGGAGCCAGGAGAGGCTGGAGATGGGGCCCAGGAGAGCGTGTGGATGGGGCAGGGCCAGGGCCCCTGGGTCTCCAGGTCACGGCTGGTCCCTCTTGTTGGAGCACCTGGACCATTGGGTTCGGCTACGCTTTTCCCTGGGGACACGCCCAGCCAAGAGCTCAGCTCAGAGGCTTAAGGCAAGTGGAGGATCCGGGGCGAGGGCTATCTCCACAGGCTGTGGTGGAAGAAGGGCTGCCCAGGGCAGTCCTGGAATCTGCTCCCCACGCTCCCCGCCCCAACTCAGGCTCTTACCCACATTCCTTGGTGTCTGCCCTGCCTGTTCCACCACCATCCTGGAGATGAGGGGGTGAGGGGCGTTGCCTTCAGGCCTGTGCCTCCCCTGAAAGCTCCTTCAGGGTCAGAGCAAGTGTCCCTTGCTAGATGGGCTCCCAGCTTGCTGCCCCTGCAGGACCCAAAGACTCTCCCCGCCCCTCCCCCCCCCACATAGTGTTTGAGCACCGTGCCTAGAAAGGGACCTTCCCTCATTTTGTGGGCCATGAAGTCCCCTTCACCCTTCCCATGGTCACGGGGGTCTAACAGGTATAACATCCCCCACCCCCAGTTCTCAACTCTCAGGGTTCCTGAGTGGAAGGGGAGGCACTACATAGGAGGTCTGAGTCAAAGGTCCCAGGATGGGGACTCCTGCCCTGAGAGAGGAGGGCTCAGCAGGCCTCTGTGGAATCGGGTCCTCCCTTTGAACACCTTGGTGGCCACTCACTGGGTAGCTGCAGGGTGACACCAGTGCAGAGCCACGTCTGCATGGTACTCACCCCTTTATCCACCCGGTCCTGTGTGGGGCCACACCTGGAAGTGCTCAGGGCCGACTCTAGCTCTACACTCAGGGGTCACCTGAGGTGGGCCTGGGGACCCTGTGCAGTGTCAGGGATTGAACCACAGTCAGCCTTGTCCTGTCCTGTCCCTCCCTTCCTTCTTTCCTTCTTTCCTTCCTTCCTTCCTTCCTTCCTCTTTTATTTTAATCTCTCCTTTCTTTCTTTCTTTCTTTCTTTCTTTCTTTCTTTCTTTCTTTCTTTCTTTCTCTCTCTCTCTGTCTTCCTTCCTTCCTTTCTTTCTTTCTTTCTTTCTTTCTTTCTTTCTTTCTTTCTGTTTTCTTGGCTACATCTGATGATGCTCAGGGGTTATTCCTGTCTCTGCACTCAACACTGCTCCTGTCAGCGCTCAAGGAACCATATGGGATGTCGGGGATCAAACCTGGGTTGGCTGTGTGCCCTCCTCCCTGTACTATATCTCCGACCCCTAAATGTCCCTGGTATTGTGAAGAACCAGAGAGAGGGAGGAGGTGACTTGCTAGGCAGTGTCAGTGGAGGAAGAGGACAGAGGAGGAAGCTGTGAGCACCCTGGGCCGGGGTCCCCTCTGTCTTCCACCCATTTCCGCTACCTGGTACTTGGTCCTGTGGGGCATTCCCTCTGGCCACCCACTGCCACCTTGTGGGCCCTCGTGTGTGTGCATCAGAGCCTTCATGAGAACCAGCGCTGGCTCTTTGCTGCTCTTGGTGGAGAGAGGAAGCTGTGGGTGGTCTGGAGCAGCTGGGGGTGTGGGGCGGGGGCAGGACTGGCTGTCCCCCCATCATGCTCCTGAGTTGCAGCACTGACCCTGGCCACAGGGGCAGCTGCAGAGCTGGGAGGGGAATGCAGCTCTAGGAGTGACTCCAGGAGCCAAGGGACTTAGAGGTGCCTCTGGGTCCCTCTAGGGCTGGGTGGTGAGACCCCTTTGTCTTTTCATTTTATCAGCAGTCTTAGGAAACATGAGAGGGGAATCCCACAATGTCACAAGAGGGTTGGAATGACAGGACAGTGGGTAAAGTGTTTGCCTAACATGCAGCCAACCTGGGTTCAATCTCCGGCACCACCACCAGAAGTGATCCCTGAGTGCAGAGTCAGGGGTGACCCCTGAGCACTACTGGGTGTGGCCCAAAAAACAAAAACAAAGTCCCAGGAGAGGTGTTTCACCCCCAGGCTAGGCTCCTAGTAAGAAACGAAGACTCTTTGTACTGGTATGAGCACTGGGCCTGACCTTCCACAGTCCTGTTCACCGACTCACAGATTTGTTGGTGGGTTATTCAGGGACTCTGGGTTGGAAGGAGGGGAGAGAAGCACCAGGAAGGAGGGGAGGCCAGGCTATCCTGGGGGATGGAGGATCACAGAGAGCCTTCCCTTAGGGACAGGTCAGGACAGGCTTAGGGGCCAAAGCAGGAACCTGAAGCTGTTCTGGAAAGTATCAGCTGGTCCCTAACACGGGGGTGTTCATCACCTCTACTCCCCTAGACCCACCATTAATGCTTGCCACAGCCCTGGCCCAGAGAACAGCAGCTCTGGAACCCTACAGACCTGGTTCCACCATTGGCTGGAGAGACAGTACAGCAGGGAGACAATGCTTACTCTGCTTCCATTTCCGGTACCCCATGTGGTTCTTCCCCCAGCCCCACCAGCTAATAAAGGAGGCAGAGTTAGGTGTAGGGGGGGTGCCCCTTGGGAAGGAATTTCATAAAGTCATTAAACTAAGAAGTGTTCGGGAATAATGCTGCTGCAGAAGATAAAACACCCAGATTCCAAGGTTATACCCCAGTAAGAGACAATTCACAAAGGCCCTGATAACACTGAGAATTAAGGAGACCACAATGTTCAAAGTCCTTTTCCCTGACATTTTCCTAGCAGCGGATTTTGGCCTGCGCAGAGTTCTAAGCTAAGAAATCTTGTGGGGACTGAGGAGAGCGTACAGCAGGAAGTGTGCTAGCCTTGCACGTGACCAGTCTGGTTCAATTCCCAGCACATCTCATATGGTCCCCTGGGTACCTCCAGGAGTAATCCTAGGAGTAAGCCCTGAGCATCTCTAGGTGTATCCCTCCTGCCACGAAAAGATGGCTTGCAAAAGGACCTAGAGAATAGAATCAGATTCTCAAAGCAATTCTGGGCACTCCACTCTGGGACCTCCCACACCTTGTGCTCTGGGCAACATTTTCCTTGTGTGGTGGTGATGGTGGTGGTGGGGTGAATGGGGCTTGAACCAAGGGCCCCATCTTATGCAGCTGCTTGGCTGCATTCTTGTCCCACTAATATTTTTTCTTTTTTGGTTTTATTTGGGGCCATACCTGCAATGCTCAGGACTTACTTCTGGCTCTGAGATCAGCCCTGGTGGTGCTTAAGGGACCATATGGTATGCTGGGGATCAAACTCGGGTCAGCTGCATGCCAAGGCAAGTATCCTACACTCTGTATTATTGCTCTGGCCCCACTAATATTTTTCTTTATGGGCCTCTTGACAAGGCCTCTTGTCAACCCAAACTTGGCCAAGAGCATTGATTCATTCGAATGCCTAACAACCCGAATCGGACG